AGGATTGCTCAAATTTATAGCACAACACACTGTGTAAATTAAACTTTATTATCTAGCAGATAACCACTGTGTTGTAACCATCCTAACATATTCCCTTTATAGTAAATAATGGACTCCACTATGAAGTTAATCATAACAACTGTGTGAGGTTTCAGTGTATCTATCAAGATGTAGGATATGCTTTCAAATTTTATCTCACCTTATTCTGCTGCTGTGGAGGTTGCTCAGCTCTGACCATGAAGAAGGATCTGTTGTTTGCACAGCAGAAGAAAGGGAAAAGATCATGAAGGCTTAAATAAATGTTGATTCAAAGCCTTTTTCTCTACCTGCTGGACTATGGTACTGTGCAGTCATTTTGTAAAGAGGGATGGTGATACTGGAAGTTCTTTCTATGACAGAGGAGGAGAAAAGAAAGGAGGAAGGGGGGGGGTGGTCCTTAGATGACCAAATTGCCAGGGGTTCCTTGAAAAACTCAAAATTTGCTCATCTAAAATAATTAAGATAAAGGTTGTTTGCCCCTATAATGAAAATCTGAACCAAAAAAAAGCCTAGAAGAAGGAGATTTTTAGCAAATAAGATGAAAATTTAGTCACTGGAGTAGATCTGGCTTGGGCCGCTTCATTTGAGGTGTTTGGTATTGGAGTTGCTATTGGAGTTGCAGAGCCAGGGGACTCAGCACGTTTTGGAAATGAAAGCCCATTGCGCATATGAAACACACAGGAACATGTGCTACATGACCAGTATTAAATTAGCTGCTATTGAAGYTGTAGGAGTTTTTGGTCACCTCTTCAGTAATGCAGATGTCCCAAGGACTTGCATGGTTCTGGGATTTTTTTCCTTTCTTTCTAATCTGGCCTGCATTAGATGCATAAAAGTGTAAAACTCTATTGTGCTCTGTGCTAAAGGTGTCCAAACCACAGGTTGTTGAACTCTTCCCACAATTGCTGCTATCTAATACCTTCTTTAGGGGAGTGGTTTCCCTCTTTTAGATAAAGACACCTACAAGCATATGAGCAATTTGGACATGGGTGTTTGATGTGGCTTTTCAATTAGCCCATTAAAAAAACAGACAAACCTTTACTTCTCCTTWCTGAAATACTAATGTATAAGTACTTACATAATTGCATTTTAATTCCATTTTTGTATTTTGGATGTGTAAACTCATTAATGCTTTATATTTTGAACAATTTTAGGTGTTTATTTGCTTACTGCCTTATGATTAGCRCAAACTTTCTGTGGGCACTTCCCCTTGAGTTCTTTCCAGGATTTAGATTGCTTGCTAGGTAATTGTGCTTAATAAGCCATTCTGGCCTCCTGATGGTACCTGGTATTGTACACTTCCATAGCTGTGTATCAATAAAGATTAGGAATCGCAGCAACCACTTTTTATTTGAAAGAAAACTGACCAGGCTCTTTTTGTTAAGCTCCCTCAAACAGTTCTAAATCCTTAACCCTGTATATTAACTCATTCATTGCTGCCAGTGGCACTCCACAGCCTCACCTCTGTGCTTCTATGAAGAGGAATCCATAGAAACAGAAGCCACAGATGCTGGGGGGGCAGGTTGGGGGGAGTAAGAAAAACCAGGGGAATGTAAAAATGTCCTAATCAGATCTCTTGGTTTTGGTTTTGTTTTTTTTTTTTTTTCCTTCTACTTCAAAAGAGAAATGCAAGAGGAACTTTGTCCTTCGTAAGTAGTGTGATGGTCACCTCAGTAGCAGTATTGAGATGCTGTTTTGTTTAACTTGGGCTCTGTGTCAGAAAGGGGAAGAATTCAGGAAGAATTTCTTTATGGAAAGGGTGGTCAGGCATTGCATGGGCTGCCCAGGGAGATGGTGGAGTCACCATCTCTGGAGGTGTTTAAGGAAAGATTTTACATGGCACTCAGTGCTCTGGATCAGTTGACACAGTGGTGATCAGAGAAGGGATTCAATGATCCTGGAGGCATTTTCCAACACTGATGATTCTGTGTTCTTCAGTACCAGTGTCTGACATCCCAGGCATCTCATAAGTTCAGAAAAAAATAGTGAAGATCCACCATGAAATGAGGAATTATGATAAAATTCCTTCTGGAAGGATAAGTGTACTTCCAGAAGGCTTGATTCTGTGGCCCATCCTCTGGGTGTTTTGCAGGAGCTCTTTAAAGCAGAACTGTGCTTATCTTGGCCCCTCTGAAAGGCAACTAAACCCCCAAAGAGAAGATGCACATGCCCAAGGTGTTTAGGGCACGTGGAGATGAGTAGAGTACATTCAATCAGCACAAAAAGCAGTAGGGTCACCTTGTACCACCTGTGGATCCATTGTGTTTTGGTAGATGCTCTGCAGAAAGGGGTTAAGGGACAATATGAGGGAGGATAGGGAACTTTAACCAGTAATGTGGGGGAGCTCTTCCATGTGCCTTTCTGAGGTGACTTTTCTGTGAGTCAGCCATGAAGTGTTGGAGCTGACTGGGAAAAATGAGTGAGAAGTAAATAAGAAGGACAGAGATRAGTGTAGAAAGACTTCCTGAGTGAAAATAAGTGGATCAAGTGAAGAAAGGGGAGGGCTGCTTCACACTGCCTGCATTCAGCAAGTCTGGTGATTCCAGAAATCTGTCCTGCCATCATTGTTCTGGGCAAATGGAAAAGTTGTGGTTGCTGAGGGTACATTGAGGAGGAAGATGCAGCTGTTGGGAGCTGAGATGAAAGCCTGTGGCCGGTATGGCCAGCAGTGAAAGGCTGTATCTCAGAAAGTGCAAAATGATGCTGTCYGAAAATGCAGAGGGAAATCAATAAGTGGGAAGTTGTGCTGGTTTAAAAACTGTGGCCACAGAGAAAGAAGGTATGAGCAGGAAAATGAAAACTCTTACCCCCTTGCCATATTGAATTTAACCTAACATCCATTTTCCATTGGCATTGCTGACTGTGACTTCTGTTAATTGCTGTCGGTTTTTTGGCAGAGAATCACTTTTTTCCTGAAGAGCTCTTTGCTGGGTCTTTCTATKAATGCAATACATGATCTTTAAAAGACTTCCAAAGGAAAGTGTATTTATTATGATTTTCATCTCTGCACGTCTCATTCCTCCCAGCGAGTTTTAGAGTTTAGGTAAGTTTTAGCCAAACTTAAAGAGAATTAATGGTTTAGAAAAGATGAAGTTTGTAAGAGTTTCATTAAGATTATCAGCTGAATCGAGAATCTAAGCTTCCTCATCTCCTGAAGTGGAGTTTGGTTATACATCCATTTTGTTCAGTATGGCCAGTTGAGCAAAGTGGTGTAGCCTTACCTTGGAGCTGCCACAGTGCTGAAAGCAGGACTAGGGTAGTTCCAACTGAAGGAGGGAGAAATTAGGTAGATATCAGAAAGAAATTGTTYCYTGTGAGGATGGGGAGGCCCTGGCACAGGTTGTCCAGAGCAGCTGTGGCTGTACCATCCCTGAAAGTGTCCCAGGCCAGGATGGATGGGGCTCTGAGCAACCTGGGATAGTGGAAGRTGTYMCTGMYCATGGCAGGGAGTGGAATGAGAYGGTCTTTAAAGTCCCTTCCAACCCACCCTATTCCATAAATCCATGAATTAAGTAATGCACTTTGAGTATTTTAGCCCATAAATTATTGCTGTGTGCTATGATTACCTCAGATTTTGCTCTAATAAAATTAGCCAAGCTCACAATTGTCAAGAGAGGGGAAATATTTAAGAGATCCAGCTGAGTCCTATAAATRGAGAATAGAAGAAGCAAAGAAGTTCTTTTGTGCCTGGGGAAAAATGGAARTAAGCACAGCCAAGTGTAAATTTTAGAAAGTGATGGGTTCCCCCTACTCATTTAGCTTGCTTAACTGTTTAAAAGCTCCTTGTACTGGTAAGTTCTGTTCTGTCTTGCAAACTKTCCTAGGTTGCCAGGAGAGCAACTTAAAATTTCTTAGGTAATGTTTGATGAATAATGTAGCTGCTCACTGAGATTATAATTTTTTGGAACAGTTACATTAATTAAGTTGAAAGTRCCTCACCTTGTTTCTGTTTCAGAAATCGCATTTCATTACTGTGAGATTTCAGTAGTCCTGTCATGCCATGATTTTAAACCATGTACTTAATTGACTTTTAAAACTTCAGTTAATTCAAATTTAAATAGATTTCAGTTGCAAGATGTATTTTATTTCCTGCATCCTTCAGTGCATACTTGGAAGTGGAGGAATGGGCTCATTTGTRTGCAGGGTTCATCACAATACAGAGGGAGAAGGTGGTATGTTTTGGTCCAAATCTTTAAATGTGGGAGGTATAATACGTTTTTTTGTAGAGTTTTGTTTTTTTTTCTGAAATTTGCCCTCAGCTCACATTTGGGGTRCAGGGAACACCTCCCTGACAGCTGAGACTCGGGGTAGCTGCAGTCAAATGTCAAAGCAGCTGCTACACATGGGCTTGACTGAAGTGTAAGGAACAGATTCAGCTCTACAAGACCAAGAGTTAATGCAGGTCTTGCCAAAGCAGAGCAGATGAGCTCATTGCCTGATTAGTGTAAATATTGGTAATTACACMCCGATGTCTCCAGTCCCTCAGCTGGGTGTGAGTGTTTGTGGACAAGCCGTGAGGGGAGAGGGGAAAAGTTGAATGGGTGGAGCYGTGTCTTCCTTGGAACCAGTTTGGAGAATGACCCATTTTGGCTCCTTTGAAGCCAGGGCATTTCAAGGTCTAAGGCAACTTTGAAGTAAGGTGTGTCTGTTATAGTTTTGTATAAATATTTCCCCTGCAATTAACTGGCTTGCTTCTTTCTCTGCTCTTTGTTTTCTTTCACTCCCACAGACTATTTAGGCCATATTAGAGATGTATAGATGTGACTTCCACCTAATGTTGCTGTTTATTAATAAAGTGGTGTGTAATAAAGCTGTTTTCTCAAATGCACTATATATTTGCTACTAATGAGAAACAAATACTTGTACAGCTTTGGAAGACTTTACAGTGCAGTAAATGTCTGCCTGCTGACTGAGATGATGAATCAGGAGATGCTTGTTTAATGCACATGTCTTTTTTTTAGCTGTTTGTCACAGCATTTATATGGAGTGCAGGCTCCTTGGCTAATGCATCTGGAAAAGGATATTCCTCTGCCACAGAGTAAATCTGTCCCAGCTGCTGYCTGAACCTCTGCTGTGCTGCTGCCAGCTATCCTGCTGGAGCCCCTCCAGAGCAGGGACACCGAGGGGATCAGAGGGATGGAGCAGYTCTGCTGGGAGGAAARGCTGAGGGAGTTGGAATTGTTCACCTGGAGAAGAGAAACTTTGGGAAGACCTCATTGGAGTCCTGCAGTGYCTGAAGAGAGCTGAAGGAAAGATGGAGAGAGACTCTTGAAAGGGCCTGGAGCGACTGCACAAGGGGGAATGGCTTCACACTGACAGAGAGTAGATCTGAATTTGATCCCTGTGAGKCCCTGGCCAGGTTGCCCAGAGAAGCTGTGGCTGCYCCTCGATCCCTGGAAGTGTTCAAGGCCAGGTTGGATGGGGCTCTGAGTAGTGTGGGATAGTGGAAGACATCCCTGCCCATGRTGGGGGGCTGGACTGGATGGGCTTTAAGGTCCTTTCCAACCTAAACCATTCTGTGGTTCTATGATCTGGCCCTTCCTAGAACAGTGGTGGCCAGTGAGGCTTTCTGGGATGAATCCACTCAATCCTGCTTCTCTAGTAGGATTCTGATATTTCATACTGACATTTTTGTTTGTTAGCAGTTGAACTACAGAATGAGGAAAAGGAGTGCKTTGTGTCAAATTAAAAAGATGATACTTGAGTTCTAATTCTGAAACAAGATTGAGGGTTGGGATTTAGTGAGTAAGCCTGCTTGAAGTCAGACTTGTAYCAAAGTGAATCCTATCTCAAGACTGAAAGAAGTGCTGCATCAGATATTGTTTTGATTTGTGGTACATATCCTTAATATAATGCTCCTTAGTTTCAAATTTTTTAATTTCTGCTTTAGAARCTCTCTGACTGAAATCTAGTAGAAGCAAGGATCCTTGAAACTCTGACTTGAGTGCTGTCAACATTTCCAAAATGCCCTTGAGTGTTTGTACCACAAGTTCAWGTGGAGTTCAGATGCTTTTTATATCTAATCTTGGGGAAAAGAGAGTATTAATTTCAGACTCGTTGTTCCTGTTCAATTAATTCAAGTGCCAAAGTGTGAAACTTACTGTTAAAAATGCAAGATTATGCTCTCAGCAGTGACCAAATACAAGGGAACTTTAGTAAGCCATCTGTTTTCTTTGCTCACCTGCCGGCTTGTTTTCTTTCAAACATTTTGTGAGGATTTGAAAATGCTTTGCAGCACCTTAGGGTCAAGCCTTGTGGCTCCAAACTTAAGATATAAGTTGTCACAGAGTGTGACAGGAGCACTACCACTCCAACCATCAATGTGTTTTCATGACAGCTGGTTGGACTTTTCTTTTCTATGAAGGTCATGAGAATTTTAGACACAGTTTGGGATTATATAGGTTTATAGATATGTCATCACCCATATCCCAAATTGGATGAATGTTATTTCGTGCTACAGTTGAATCATTACTAAGTGGTGTCTCTGGTTTCTTCAGATTGTCACATGTGATTTAGATTAAAACACTGTGCAGGAACACGTCCTAAAGACTTAACATGCTTGCTGAAGTCAGAWATCAGTCTTAGAATTAAAATACTGAAGATAAAAATACAATTTTCTAAGTGGAAGAATTATTTCAGGTAATAACTTTGTAGCTGCTATTAGCAAATAGTAGTATCTTTGCATGAGATGACAAGAAGCGTGRATACTTTACCTCTTCATAAAGCTCCTCCACCCCCAAAAGAAAACAGGTTAATTCTTTCTAGCTAATTCTCACCAATACAAAGAGAAGAGAARATTTGTTTTTTTCTGTGCTGTAAAGATTGCAGCTCAAGGAGAGATTGTAGCTCAGGGAGAGGTCAGGAATGTTCTGTAATTAGGCAAAATACCAGTTGTAGCATTCCCTGCTTCAGAACAATGTTTCTTTCCTTCATATTTTCCCACCAAATTGTTAGCTGGATTGCAGCAGGAGAAATTGCAGTGCAAGCAGCAGTTCCTGTGCTAGGCAGTTGAGGGTTCCTGGATGGAAGTCAACTGGTAATTTGTCTGGGAAACTGCGACTTGGGGAATTTTGGGTTATCCAGAGGCACAATTTTGTGCAGCCATTGTAGCTAGAAACAACTGCCTGCACTTTAATGCTTATACAGACTCCTGTGTTGGTGCTGTGCTGTCCTCTTGCAGGTSGGGTGTGTGTGCGGTGTTTGTGTCTATTTGGGTATCACTTGTCYCATTGGGATTTGGGCTTGTTTGACACAAAGATGTATCAGACCATCTTTTGTCCAGTCTCATGGAGAAAATTTCTTGGTCTTAAACACTCTCTCTCAAGCTCATTCTCAACACTATCATCTTCATGGTTGTGGGACCTCTGGTTTATTTGTTTCAGCAGTGCTTATTATCTCAGAGTGTTCTTCTAGAATAGCAGAAGAATAACCTCCACAAGGGTTAGTCCCCCCAAAAAACATTGGATGCTTCCTCTGTAAACACTTTGTTTTCAGAGGAAGTCATAGCCTGGTTTCAAACCCACAACCTGTTCTAAAAAWTTTGCCTGCAGAAGATTTTCACTTGATATTTTTGATTTGAATGTGACATGAAATACTTTTGCCCTTTACTGATAGGAAGCTGCATATCTTGTAGGCTGTTTACTCTTTATCAGTCTAAGGGAGGAGRCTTTTTGGTAAATGCTAGGGAGTTTATTTCCAGTAGCCAATTCTGCATTATGCAGTTATCTTCATGTGGGAAAAGTTACTTGGCCCTGTACTAGGATTCTTATGGTGGGGAAGACCTTCCAAATGCATCCCTGTTCACAGGGAGGGGACTGTTGTGCTCTTCTGSTTGGTTTTAAGCTCTTTCTGGGTAGCTGGACTGGCTTATTTGTGCTCATTTGTTTGGTATTTTCCAATCAAGCCTTACTAGCACTGACTRATTATTCCTATTAATGGCTTACAGCGTGGGTGGAACAAGCTGCCAGTTTGTCCACTGCCCTACCTGGTGTCATTRTACGGAAAAACAACAACTTGGCCATAGTGCACAGAGAATGGAAAATAAAGGGTAAATGCCAAACCCCRAATGATGTTTAGTTATTACTAATTACAAATGAAAGCACCCTGACTTTTAAGTGTACTAAACAACGTGCTGGTGACTTGATGGGGCTACAGAAAGTCACTGAACGAGTTGGTTAAAATTTTGCTACAGTAGGATTTTAGTCCTGATTTGAGGTGCATGGTGGTTTCAGGCAGTGTGAACCTTCTAAAAGTTACAAATGAGGTGAAATCGGCATCTTGATTTTTAGCTCTCAGGTTTCCTCATGACTTGACCCTTATGTGAAGTTGTTTTGCAAACATTTACCAGGAAATAYGTTTTCTTAAATGCTAGGAAAGCCCTTTGTACTTAGTCTGATCTGCTTGTCTTTTGTGAAGCTTCAGTCTTTCCTATATTTTGCAAACAAGTTGTGGAGATGTAGCAAAATAGGAGCATACATATATATATGTTTGTGCATGTGTATATACATATATATATATATATATGTATATGCTGGATTTTATTTGCACTTAAAAATTGAACAAATATCTGAAAGAATAAGATACCATCAGCCAATTAGAATAAAAGAAGAATTTAAGGGAAATGCTTAATGCATGGTAAACAARGTAATTGAGGAGGCTTCAGGCGAGGTAGTAGAGAAGTGGGGGGAGGAAGTAGCTGTGGAATGCCAGATTTCCAGTTCTTGGTTCCAAGCAGAACTACGTGTGGCTCTGGAACTGATGGCTGACAAACTGGGAAAAAGCTGTGATCACAAGCGTGCTTTGGCTTGTGTGCCTCTCAGTAAATTAGTTTTGCATTCCTACTCCCAGTCATTGCTGAAATAAGTTATGCATAAGGTGAACTGGTTTTGAACTTATGGGATTGAGAAACCTCAAATGAGATATTTTTTTTTTCACCCACCCACCCCTTCCATTGTCTTCAGAAAGAAATTTGGACAGTATTGGAGGCAAGGATTATTTTGCATCTTCTAATGTAAAAGCACAGTGTGCATTCTTGGACACAGGTTTCATGTTGAAAAATATATTTGGGGCTGTCAGATGGCCCTCAGTGGGATGGCAAATCAGCTATTACTGGTATGAAWGTTAACAGGAAATAAAGAACTGGATACATATGAAGGAAAACCAAAGGCTAATAAAAAGGTGCTACAGAGTTCTATTTCGSAAGCAGAGATAAGCATGTGGCCAGAAGATTTTCTTGGTTTCCAGACCTCTCTGTGAACTTTTACTGCACAGTCCTAGAAACCAAACCAATCCTAGATTTATTTTTTTAAAACTTACTGCAGATGAGCTTTGCTTAGAAACTCTAATGAGACACAGTGATTTCAGCACATAGATCTTACATTTCCAGTGTGTGTATGATCTTTGTGGCAGGTCCCCAAAGGAATGCCGTGAGCACTTGTGGGACACATGGAATCACAGAATCAGTGAGGTTGGAAAAGACCTCCAGGATCATTGAGTCCAAGCTGTGATTGATCCCCATCTTGTCAACTAAACCAGAGCACTGAGTGCCACATCAATTGTTCCTTGAACACCTCCAGCAATGGGGACTCCACCTGGGCAGCCCTTTTATTAACACGCTCCTTTAATTCAGCCCTGCCTGTTGGTCTGACGGATGTGCGTACCACAAATTCTTTTTCTTATTTAGTCTTATTAAAACTACTTGTCCTGTAAGAAATGATGGGGAATGTTTCCCCTGAGCTTGAACTATTTCAAAGGCACTTTGTTCCTATCATTTGCAGCTTTGGTGAATGCTCCTTTCAAACTTGGAAGTGTCAGCAAATATTTCCTTATTATATCATGCCTCTCTTTAGTATTTTCTTTTTTTTAAAGGTGGACTGTAGGAAAACAAATGACCAAACCTGATCTGCACTGAGCACAAGACTKTACATTGTGTGCTGACTGGGGGGAAAAAATGCACTTGCTGGCTTGCTAAATTGAGATAATACTTTGGATGTTGACAGACAGAAAAACAATTAGAGCTGTTGGATGCTTTGCTGACATGTGCATTGTCACACRGAGAGATGGCTTGGTTGGTGCCAGGAAATCTGAACTGCTCAACCCTCAGCAAGATATTAAGTTTGTTAATTAAGTTTCTAACAGCTGGGCTTGGAATGTGAAGTCTGTTTACTTGTGAAGACAACTGGTCCAAGAATAAATAGCAGAGGTCACTGATGGGACCTGTGAGGTGTTTTCTCAGTCACTGTTATGTCACAGGCTGGTAAAAGACTTTTTGCTGCTTAGTTTATTGGTACATTAAAATGATGTTTCTGTATTTGTACATTGTTAAAATCTGTGCAGATAATAGCTTTCTTTGAATTATCTAGCTTTATGTAGGAAAACATTAAAAGACTATTTCTGTAAACATTGGTATTCTTAAAAGGTATCACTTTTCTGTTGAGTGTGCAAGCCTATTTGAAATCTGGTTTAACTTACAAACTTAATATATACTTCAGAACAGGTAGTCTTGGACAGGGATTCTGAGGGGAGTGTATTGGCCTGACTTTACTGCTTGGTGCTTCTCTGCTAAAGCTCGTCCTGTCCAYGTGGTGGGACCTTTCTGGCTCTATCAGGCTCTGAGGTTGTTGCTGCTCCAGCCTGTCAGGTGAGGATCTTCCAGGTGTCCKCTGGATCATGTGTCAGTATTGGTCAGCTGCTGGATGAATTGTTCAGTGAAGGGAGGTCACTTTTCAGTCTAGCTTGAGGGCTGCATTGGTGCATCTTTTTGATGCAGAAAGAGATGTTCACTTACCCAGGAGAAGGCAGCTCTGCTTAGACTGTAAATGTGAAMAGCACTAAGTATTTGCTTAGTGTTCCCAGTACCATTTCTGCCTCCACATGCAGTTCTGTTCAACCCATCAGCATAAGCAGATTCCACGTTTCTTGTGTAGCCCTACCCTGCCTGTCTTCACTAATCTCYTCTAAATAATTTTCAGGTTTCTTTTCTCCATCCCTGTATATTTGTTTTCCTGGTATTTAATTCTTAAAAATATTGTCTTTAATTTTATCACTTTATCCATGTGGGATTACCTGAGCACATGAGCTTCTTTTATCGTATTATCACGGTTTATTTTTCCTCTATCTRCTTAAGTAGCCCAGCTGTCTCATTAGGTTTTCTTTATTTGTTTTTGGCTTTTTGTTGTTGGTTGGTTTCTGGGTGTTTTTTGGGCATTTGCTTTCTTCTTAATTTCTGGGTTTTTTAAAGACTTAATCATCATTGTTGGTGCTTAGGTTTTTGTTTCATTTTTGAGGGTAAGGTCTATCTTTTGAAGACAACCCTTTTTGGTGGGTTCACTTGAAATTTTTTTGTTTAGTATCATTGCCGAGCCTATGGAAATAAACTAGGATAAGACATTAGACAATGTCTGTTTCCTCACAGAACCAGCATAGTGGTGGTAGGGGTTAAACCACCCCTGCAACACTTGGCCTGATGTGTGTCCTTGTTTTAGAGGAAGAGAGAAGCAATGTGTCTGCYCACTTTCCTTTCTGGGTTCTGGTACAAAATGCATGGATTTGTTGCGAATAGGAACCTTCAACTGCTTCTTCAGGGAGACAAAAGTTGAATGGCTGTAATTAAAAATGTTTTCCCCTTGTTTTGCTCCAGCCCCACCTGCTAGGAATTATTGAACAAACACTGAAAGCATCCCTAACCAGTCCCTTGAGACATCCAGGCARCATATGAAGGAATAGGGGCACCTGTTACTGGAAACTGTTAGGAGTTTATTCTGGCATTTCTTTAGTGCTATTTCTCTGGRTGCTCTTTTTATAACAACTTCTAAAATTTTAGGAAATAAACTGTAATGAAACTTTGGTATGTCTGCAGAAGAGGTAGACATTGTTAAAGCATTGGATTCCTTGAATGGAATCATAGAATTACTAAGGTTGGACAAGACCTCCAGGATCACTAAGTCCAACCTGTGACCAATCAATCCCCACCTTGTCACCCAGCCCAGAGCACTGAGTGCCACGTCYAGTCCTTTCTTGTACTGCACCACCTTTCTGGGCAGCCCATYCCAATGTCTGACTACTCTTTCCATGAAGAAATTCTTCATGATGTCCAACCTGAATCTCCCCTGGCACAGCTTGAGACCATGTCCCTTGTGCTGTCCATTGTTCCCAGGGAGCAGAGCCTGATCCCCCCTGGCTGTCCCYWCCTGTCAGGGAGTTGTGCAGTCAGAAGGTTCCCCATGAGCCCCCTTTTCTCCAGGCTGAGCCCTCCCTGCTCCCTCAGCCCCTCCTGGTGCTCCAGACCCTTCCCCAGCTCCGTTCCCTTCCCTGGACACGCTCCAGCCCCTCAATGTCCATCCTAAAGTGACAGGCCCAGAACTGTCGCAGGATTCAAGGTCTGATCTCACCAGTGCCCATGACAGGGACGGTCACTGCCCTGGTCCTGGTGCTGGCCACACCATTGCTGACCCAGGCCAGGTGCCATCGTCCTTCTTGCTCATCTGGGCACACCCAGCTCATGTTCAGCTGCTGTTGACCAGCATTCCCAGGTCCTTTTCCACTAGGCAGCCGTCCAGTCACTGTGCCCCCAAAATGTGTGGATGTTTTAAATGTTCCTGTTTTTAAAGAAAGGAGGCTGTGTTGCCTCTCCTACCCAAYAGATGTCAATGTGAAATTGTCAGCTTTTAAAATTGGTGATTGCTTGCTATAAACACCAGGATTTTTTTTCTCTTCCAGCTGCTGCAGGAAGTCAGCTGCCTTGCCTCTGCTGTAGCTGCAAGTATGACTTGACTGATTTGCATTCATGGCTCTTGGATGATCTGGTGAACCATGGAGCTCAAAGTATGGGTGGATGGAGTGCAGAGAATTGTGTGTGGTGTCACCGAAGTCACAACATGCCAGGAAGTTGTAATAGCCCTTGCTCAGGCTATTGGTGAGTACTGCTAGCTGGGAAGTGGGGTGAATCTAAACTGAGGGAGGGTGGGAGAGCACTGRGTACCAGCAGAGAAGAAAATAAAATGCACAGTGGGAAAACCTTGCAGTGTAAACTTATAGCCTTGGATTTTTCACCTGCCAGAGAGAGATTAAAAAGAAACWCTTTAAAATCTATAAACTTCCATTCAATAAAAATATATTCTCTAAGTAATAATAATCATGCTGCTGTTTGTTATTGTAAATACAGCCTGGACTAAAGATGGTGCTAAACTGCCAATATTCTGAGTACCAAAGAAAACATAAAAGCAGTGCAATATAATTGGTTGGCTTTCACATCCTAATGATGCTCTTTGAAATTATACCCATTGTAAGTATCTTTAGCTGTACTGGGAATAGTATAGATCAATTAAACAGATCCTTCAGGGTCTCCACTTACTCCTGCATGCCACATAACTCACTGCTCATGAAAGGGTAATTTGGAAGTATCTACACTGTTAGCTCTTTGCTGAAGACTTTACAAGAAAAAAATAAAATCTTTCAGGCTCCACCACAGGATAATCTTGTCAGATCTTTCTTAGCGATTAATAAGCTTAAACCTCATCCCTTCAGTATTTCCTATGCTGATACTTATTCTTTCCTAAAATGTTAAAATTGGCTTTACATACTATTTAAATTTAGGCATTAAAACCTATGATTTAGCTGAAATTAATAGTTTAAAGGTGAGTGTTTGCATTTTTCAGTATGCCAGSAGTTTTGCAAGATTGTATTAGCAGTCTGACTCAATTTTAAAATAATAATTTTCTAATAAAGAGCAAGTTAGCCCCATGAATGTCAATAAGATTCTACCTGTAAGCACAAAGTCAATTTCTCTGGAATTGTGATGTTTATTTAAATGTTAAACTTCTAAGCATCATTTCTATCTACTTTCATCTGATGAAGTGGAAGACTGGCGCTTTCTTATTTTATAGTTTAAGGRGTTTGAATACAATGGTAGCATGTGCATCTCTATATGCATTACATACCTTTTAAAGCTTCATTTAAAAATTGTAGAAAGTCRGTTTGTCTCTCAAATTTTGTATTTGGTATTAAGCTGTTAAATGTGCTTTTACTGGWTGTGTTAGTTGCAGCATTTTATTCAATGGTAATTGGTTCATGAATTGCTTCCATATCTCATTTTCTGCCTGCAGGTTTTTTTAGAAACAATTCTGCAAGCATGATCATTTTCTAGTAATGATGAAGTGATACATGTTTAGAAATAGTAACGTGGTTATGATACTTTTGTTCTTCACTTTGCCTTCAATATCTCTTTCAATTCTCTTTCCTTTGCCTTCTCCCACAGAAATGTCAGACCAGACTCCCAGTTTTAGACTGGGAGACCAGACCAGACTCCCAGTAATTTCATGTTCTCCTGTGCAATTTCTCCTTGGGTTTCCTTCTGTATCCTCAGTTATCAGTCTGAATTCTGTAAAGACTCCCTCAGCCTTGGAAACACACAGGTTTTGTCAGCTCTGCAGACTTCCTTTTCTGTAACACGTCACCAGTTTGTCTGGGACAGGCGACTCTGSTTCCATGCAGAGATAAATTTCAGTTTGCAATCAGAGCCAAATTAAGATAATCCTTTGGAAATTCCTTCCTGAGGTAAATATCCTCTCTAGAAAACTCCCAGAACAATTCCCCTCTCACTGGGGCAGCTAGGACAGTATCAAACACCATATAAATTACACCTGCGTGTCTTTGGCAGGCAGGGCTTTCCCAGCCCTCCTGTCAGGCCATTCACCAGGACAGCAGCCATATGTCTGCCCCTGGGATTTGGCTGTGGGTCCCAGCTTACCAGGAGTAATTGTCACTCACGTTTGAATGGGAATCTATTAAAATGTATTCCTCTAGCTCTCACCTGACATTTGGTGGTGGAAAGTGGCCAGTCTTAGTTGGCTTCTCCYTCACTTGGCTCTGATGGGATTTTCCACTTTGCAGTCTGGCTCCTTCAGCAGTCACATAACTTGGCTGCACTCAGGATTATTTTGTCTGTCTGTAAAGTCTGTGAGACACATAACACAGTCTTCTTCACCAAGCCTGAAATGTGAATTAGAAGTATATTATTTTCTTGAAGTGCAGTGTCTGGAATATCTGCAAACTGGCTTATTTTACAGCCATATCCACTGAGGAAAGGACAAGCCTAAGATACCCAGATTAAGACATCCACAATTAAGAGACTTCTCATGGACAAATGAATCTGCCTGTGTTCTAGACATGTGAAAAACAAAGCTTTATCCTGTATTTCAAAAACAGGAAAATCAAAATTCCTATAGAGCGGGCTGTGGGCTTCTCTCCTATAGAGAAGGCAGCTTTGGACATTATCCAGTATAAAAAAAAAAAAATCTGCTGCTCAAGACAGGGCCAGGCAGAGCAGTTTGCTCAGGAACAGGGGCACTTGGGTTCTGAATGTAACCAAGTGTGGAGAACCCATTGCAGCAGTGTTCACTCACCCTGGCAGTGAGAGTGTGTTGTCCTTAAATGGAATTTTTTCATATKTAAGAAAATGCCTTTTGCTGTCACTTGATCAAATGCAGGGCCCTGTCTCCTGATCTCCTGCTGTGATAAGAGCAATAAAAAGGTTTCCATCTATGCACTTTCCAACTCTTCCCTTGTGTCATGGAAATTCAGTAACTTCAGGATAGAAAAGTTTGTTGCATCTTTTTGGTTTTCTGTTTTTATGTTCTGGGACTATTTTAGCTGGGAAAAAAAGAAAATCAAGTTATACTGGGCTATGAGCYTTTGCAAGAGGTCCTGTCCCATATCCAGTGTCTAATCCTTTGGCCATGGCATTCTGTCACTTAACTTGCCTGTCTAATGCTCCTTGATTCCTTAGAAATTGGAGCTCTTTCAGTAAAAATGTCACTCTYTGCTGCTGTACTCCTGATGAATAACATTTGTGTTACCTGTTCTTCCACTGTAATCTCTTCCCCCTTCTCCTGCTGCCTATCTCTTGATCACTGCAGAATAGGAAATTACTCCATCCAGAGTAAAAATTGGAGAGTTTTTTGGTTGGTTGGGGTGGTTTGTTTTTTCTTAAAATTTCTATTCAAACTGAAGTTAAAAGGTTTTAATTCAATCTCAAAACACCCTTATTCTTTAAAGCAAAAGAAGAAGGGAAAGTTGTCTGCTTTGGTGATCCCAACAAATCTTATTTTWAAAATGTGTATATAATTTATTGAATGCAAGAGAGAATAATATCAATTGGATATAATTCTAGATACTGAAACTGACTGTACCTCTAACTTAGAAGGAGTTGGAAATGCCTTAGCTGGAGGGCGGACCACTGGAATTCTGTTCAAGACAGACCTAAAACTATTCAGTTACACATTTCCAGAGAGTGAAATCATCTCTCACTGGGATTGTGAAGAACAYTTGATACTACCTTTTATGAGTTTTATCTAGGTCTGCTTTATCTTTTTTTAACTCAAGCTGTTTGCCAGTTACTAAAAAAATTCTGCTTGTTAATACAAATAAGAGAAATGATTGTTTCATCATGACAAACTGAGCCTTCACCAAAACAAAAATTCACCTGATCACACAATTTAAATAGAAGAGAACCATGAGTCTTGTTTTAAAAATATTTTTGCCAGGACAGTTGAGCTTTTCCAAGAATCATCCTTGTCTCTTTTAAAAATGTACATTTGACAGCAAATTCACCACTAACCTTTCTGTGCATTCTGTGAAAATCATACCAGAATGGCTTCATRTAAACATTGCTTGGTCATTTTGATYCCTCTTCTTAATTTGGTCAACTGAAAGCAAGTAAAASAAGAGTCATTAATACTTTTAAACCATGTGTGATGAGATGGTGGATGAATCCAGCCAAAGGTCTGTTTTGAGTGTATGTGAGCATAGTGACTCCTCTCAAAAAATCATTGTGATCCTGAGGGGAAAAGCAGATGGTATCCTAAAAAAAAAAGTGAACTAATCATTTTAACTGATGGTTTAGGCAAAGGTAGTTTAACTATAGATATTAGGGTTTTTTTTTAGATTGGCATTTACTGGTTGTTTTCCATTCAAACACAAAAAATAAATAAAAATTCTTCCAAAGGAATGTGGCAATGGACTGGACTCCTCCTCTGATTCGTTATTTTCTATCATACTTCATACCTGTGGATGCAAAATATGGCATGAGTTAAGAAATCTGAGTAATGCAAACTCTAACCTCTATTTTGAAAGGCTTTTTTTCTCTTAATCTTGGTTATTTAATGAGTTCTTAGGTAGCTGGAATGGTATTTTTTCTAAATTGCTATGRATGTTAACTTAAGTATCACATAATGAATGAAATGTCAGCTTCATATTTCAAAGMTAGGGAGTTCAAATCATCCTGGTTTGATTAAAATTGCCAGCAATTACTTTTCTATCAATACTGTTAAAGATTCAGGAGTTAATGCTGTTGTCCCTTTGGTATGGCAGAGCATTTTCATCTATGTGTTCCACATAGTAAGAGCTCTTAGAAGATTTTACCCACATGCAATCACTTTTCCTTTGCATTGCCTTGTTAAGGAAGAACAGCCTAGGGCTGGAAGTCTGTCTCTGGGAAACAAAGTGTGGGTCAGGAAGCCATCCAGGTTGTGGAGGGGGGTGGGGTGCATTTTTTAGTGCTCTGGGCAGTCTCAGTTTGGCTTGAGCCAAGTGTTGGCAGGTCTGGTTTTACCTCCATGGAAACCTGTGTGCAGACAGGTGACAGTGTGTGTATTCTTACTATGCACTGTGGTGAGTCTGGGGTGCTCATTTAGATTCAGCTCAAGAGTGAGACTAGTACATCTTCCCTTTTAGTTTGGCTGTCTTAAAACTTCTGTCTTAGGTGCAGGTTTACCTTTTTTCCTTTTTTTTTTTTACAAGACTGTCCAGAGTGCCACCTGGCAGGGCAGGCCTTTGGCACAGCTGCTGTGCAGCAGAGGTGATGGACCCCTGGGGAAAATGAGAGCTGGGAATGTGCCTGCCAGGCAACTGAGTGCA